AATACACGGGGTGCTTTCCTTACATGATGAAATCATTTTATGTAACAAAAAGGTCTTCCCTAATTGTGCTTAAAATTGTTTTGGCATAAACTTAGATTTTATAACTTGGAGGGAATGGTAAATGTAAAAGCAAACCAATTAAATTTCCTGTACTGATTTTGAATTTTTAAAATCAGAATTTTTTGTTGAATGAGTGTAGATTTTCCCTTCTAAAAAAATACTATAAAGAAACTTTTGAACGCAGATTCTGAAATTAAACATTTAGTTAGTTTGAAAAATATATATTTTTTGGTACTGGGGATCGAACTTGGGTCCTTCCACTTGCGTAGCAGGCGGCAGAACCACTGAGCTAAATCCCTGGTCCCTGAAAAATATTTTAACCATGGCAATCTAGAATAAGGACACTGTCATTCAACAAATACTAATTTAATACCTCCCATGTGTCAAGTACTACATATCATTTAATATTACAAGTGAATAAAGAAATGCAAATTTAAAATATAAAATGTCATGCTCAGTGTTAAACTGACAAAAGTTATTTTAGTATGTTTATAAATTTATCAAATATTATTTTATATTGATAATAAGTGTAAACTGATAATCTTTGTGCCTTAAAAATAACTATATCCTTTGTTTCATTTCTAAAAATGTGTACCAAAAACTTATATGTATACAAAGATATGGCTGTGAGAATTTTCATCACAGGAAATTTATGATTATAAAATTTGGTAGGCTAATGATGAATAATTAAATAAATACTGATATTCTGATAGAATAGAATACCATAAAGCTACTAACAGTGACTTACAGAAAATATTTAATGAAATAGGAAGACATACACTTTATTGAATATTAAAGGAAAGGCATGCACACCATATAATCCAGATTAATTTAAGAGAAGTATACATGCATAGGGAAAAGACCAATAAGCTATCCCCTGCATTACTAATAGCACTTATTATTTCTGAGTGGTACAAATTCAAACAATTTTAATTTTTTCTTTTTTCTTGCATAAATTTTCAAATTTTTATACATTTAACATGTAATATGAGGGCTTGGGATTTAGCTCAGTGGTTCCAGTGCCTGCCTTGCAAGTGCAAGGTACTGAGTTTGATCCCTGGTACCAAAAAAAAAACACCCCAAACATGTAACATGAAAAAAGTCAAGGTGGTTTTTTTTTTAATTAAAAGAAGACCACTCAAAGTGACAAGTGTGAGCTAGGGTTTGCTCTGGAGAATGGAAGTGTTGACAGGCAGTGCCTGGGTGTGAGCTGAGTGTGAGCGGAAGGGAACAGAGAACAGCACTGCCATCCCAACCCACCAAAGATGCAGGGTGACATGCAGGTGTGTGCACAAGCACTGGTCATCATGGAAAAGCTGTCTCACTGCTTACTGCACCTAAGGTAAGGAAACTGTTTCTAAAACATATGTAGTTGATTTTCATTTTTCATTGCAATTCTCCATCATGTATTTATTTTTTCTAACAAGTATGGTTAAAATTCTTTCACAACACTGTATAAATAAATTCTTTCCTTTTCAGGCAGCAGTGGCTACATTAAAGTTTCACCCTTGGTGTATTTTGTTTATGCTAATCCACAGCTCCTAAGAGACAGGGATGCTGCTTTAGCCATTACAGCTAGCCGGCAGGAATGCAGCAGGTGCTCATACCTGGAAGCGTCTAGGTGTTTGCTCCTGTTCTCAAGTCTCTGTCTTATCAAGACCTTGGTTCTTGGCTAGATACATCAACACACGATTTCCTAGTGTGAAATTCCAAACTTGGAAAATAGATTCAAGTCTCTAAAATAGAACCTCTTATTTACAGAGGAAAACATTAAAAACTGAGTCATCAAATTCCTGCTTTGAAATCAGAGGTAAGCAGAGCCTCCTCAAGGACTCAAGAAGTTGCTCAGGAACAGCAGCAGGCACGCCTCATTACTAAGACCTGCAGTTCAGAATGAGCCCTTACAGTGGTCCTAAAGGGGCTCAGTTCCAGTGGCTCAATGTCAGGGCCTGAGCCAGTGCCTGACCTCCAAAGTAAAGTCTCGACTGAATCACTACACAAGTGGAAGAGTGGGGAATGACGGCAGCTGACACTGTTTCACACTGATTTGAGACACTAACTTCATTGTGGTTTGAGATTTACAAATTAAAGGACAGTGAGGAAAAGCATTCTATTCTTTTCACACTCACAGCAAACTTAAACGCTGACTGAGGGCTGGTGTTGCAGGGTGAGAGCATTACCACGGATGAGGGGCAGTGAGCTTGAAGGGGGGCTCCACCTCAAGGGGATAAGGCTAGTTCAGCTGTGCTGATTGCTGTCATATAGAGATGCAGGCCCAATTCAGCTAGTTCTTCCCATTTTTTCAAAGAAAATCTAATTTTTAGGGGGGTAAAAATTCTAAAATGTTAAACATTAGCCTAAAATTTAAAGACAGAATATGCATATTTTGCATGTACATCTGGGCTATGATGTATCACAAATGTGAAAACTTTGATTGAGACTTTACTGTGTCTGAAAATATTTATTCCAAGGAAGGGGGGAGCACCTTTAGGAGGTGGGGCTGGTTGGAAGAAATAAGTCACAGGGCCCTCTTGAAGGGAATATCAAGACCTCCACCCCTTTCTCTGGCTCTGCTCCCCAGCTGCCATGAGGTGAGCGGTTTGCTCTGCCACACACACCCTGCTAGGATGTGCTGCTTCACCACAGACCCAGAAATAACAAAGCCAGGTGACCATGGACTAACACCTCTGAAGCTGTGAACTGAAGTCAATCTTTCCTCCAGTACTGGGGAATGAACCCTAAGCCCTTTGAGCTACATCCCCAACCCTTTTTTACTTTTTATTTTTGAGACAGGGTCTCACTAAGTCACTAAATTGGCCAGGCTGGGTTCAAACTTGCACTCTTCCTGCCCCAGCCAACCAGAATGCTAGGATCACAGGTGTGTGCCACCATGGCCAGCTGTTCTTTCTTCCTTAAATTGGATTTTTTTCCAGGTATTTTTGTCACAGCAATGGAAAGCTAACACTGTGTTCGTCTCTGTGTGTGTTGCTACAATAACTATCTCTTGGAAACTGAGAAAAACAAGGAGGTAAGTCATACTATGGGAGGGTTTTAAGCACTCCTGCAAACTAGTGGAAATGTACTGCACTGGAGATTTTATGTGGTGGAGGGAGGTTGCTCAATGGGATTTGCACATTAAACACATTAATTTATCCCTGAATGTGCAAATGTTTTTCCCCCGGCGATCAGGCCATCTGTGTGTGCTCATCAGTGCCCACCAAAGTTAGGCTCCTACCCTCCCACAGAAGCAGGGCAATATGGTGCCACCTTCTTTGAGGATAACACATCAAAGGGATAGTCCCCTGGTCCTTGAGGAAGATGGTCCTGGGCATTAAAACCAGCAAGACGCTTTTTAAGAAAGATTTACATCTCAGGGGAGGCAGGAAAAGAATGTACAATTCCAAATTTTCTAAAGTAAATGCTGTAAGAAAAGGCAGGTCAGAGCCTAGTGGGGAAGACATCGTTCTAAAGTTCAGCCAAGCTGTGGGGAATGGTAAGGCAGTCATAAAGCCAGGTAGATGTTGATATTTAGCAAGCTACACATCAGTCAGCCCGTTTCAAAGACACGTAAATTCTAGACATGTCCAACCCTTGCTTAGAGTCCTTTCCTCCTTCCCCACAGGCAGGGCTTTTGGAAGGTGACTGGATCATGGGGGCTGGTACCAGACTCACTGTTAGGAAGTGGGGGCTGGTCATTGGGGGCCTTACTGGGAGGGGCTTCTCTCCCTCCTCAGGGCCTCCCTTCTCCGCTGCCTGTCCACCATGCCCTGAGCAGCTTTCCCCTGCCAGGCCCCTCTGCCATGCCATTCTGCCTTGGAGCTGGCTGACTAATGACCAAGACCTCCACAAACTGAGCCAAAATAAACTTCTCCTCCTTGAGGAGTTGTGGGTGTCAAGTATTGTGTCTTAGTGACAGGAAAGTAACTATAACAGGTGGTGAGGTGAGAATCCAAGAACTCAGAGGAGAAACTCACAGTGCTCCTGTGTCCGCAGCCCCCTCGGGAACCTGCCTGCCTCGGCAGCCACCAACACGTGCTTGTCCCTGTACCAGGATCATGTGTTTCCACCAGCCATATAACTCTGGTTGATTTATCCATTTGCAAATGAGCATCCGAAACACATACTATGCTGCATCGTCAACTGATCTGTCCAGCACACTCAGCCCAGTGCCTGGCGTGTAGTAATGACTCAAAAAAGCTAACGAGCAGTAGTTCAGCAAGTTTTCGCCTGTGCTATTACATTATTCTTATAAATAAGGAACATACTATGAAACTGATATCAGTAAGATACACAAAGGGGTGGCAGAGAATAAGTTAAAAGAATTATGACCTGGATCTATCAAAATTAGAGAAGAAGCTGTAAGTAACTACTTCCAACCAGCACCATGCTCTGTCTGCCACAATTGTACCTTCCTGCCAAAATATCCTAATACTGGTCCCCCAAATTTAAAATATTTTCCACACAGATCTCAAATCTTCATGGCATCTAACCCAAGAATGCTGCAATTTTAAAAACTAACATCATTATTGTGCATATTTCTTTCTCATTTTTGTCACTTGTAGCATTTTTTAAAATGTGAGAGCAAATTGATTTTTCAGGAATCACTCTCCTCCTTTGTCCGTATCTTAGTAACAACCGCAAAGTTCTCAAGATTGGGATTCTGGTCTCACAAGTGTGCTCAGAAGCGGAGCGTTTCATCCTCCAATGAGCTCTAGCTGCTTGGAGATGTGACACCCGGTGGAGGGAAGCCAAGAGCCTATAGCAGCAACCCTGGGGAGAGCTAAAGCAGCCGTGGCTGCCGTGTAATTTAAAACCTCTGCTGAGTGTGCTGCCTTGCGCTGGGCTGTGCACAGCCTTCGCAGAACATGAGGGCTGGATGCAGCCTGGCCTCCGGAGGACGTCCTCGCCCGCGGCGGAGAAGGGGATATTGAAAGGCAAACCTGGGTGCAGCCGGAAAGGTCCAGGTAGATGAGCTTGTGGCATCCTTTCCCCAAGTTCAGGTACTGTAAACCTTTGTCTGTGAACTTTCGGCAGTAAGCCAAGCTAAGATTCTGTAAGTTGTGGAAGTACCTGGAAAGACAGGGTAAGAAAAGAGAGCAGGAGAGTGGTTATACTTCAGACGTTTTCTCACATCTTTTTAAACCACTATGACAAAGAGAACAAAAAATGTACATTAATCTTTTCTCCTTGCAGTTGTTCAGCAGTTTAACTTTATTGTTAACTCTGGCTCTGCTAATTAAAGAAGGTTTCAGTAATAGATCAGATATTGCATAACTGCATTTCAAGTGAGAAGAAGGAATATTTGGCTAGATTTTTAAGAAAGTTGATCAAGATAAAGTTTTTTTGAAGGGTGGGCGTTGCTGCATGCATATTGTTTGGAAGTTATTTTGTTTTTGGAAACTGAAGCTAGAGTTTATTGTTCTTAGGGTTTATCTTTGGATCACCCCAAAATAATCTGCAAACTGTCTAGAAGAACGTATCTTTTGTAAACATTTATATGGAAATTAACTGTTCCATGAGAGTGAGAATTTGGGGCAGAAAGAAGGCAAAATTGAATATAACAGTCTCTTTAAATGGGTCTGATAAGCACATAGTTTGAAAAACATAATTTAGCCAGGATTTTATGAGTGACAGTTTCGTTACAATAACTTTAAAAAAGACAAATACACTGAGCTTAAATGTGCAGTAAGAAGAGTCTGTGAGTGAGTGGACAACAGATGAGAAGCATAGGAACTGAATCAGAGCTGTCAACCTCATTGGAATTGAAGCAGATGAAATAGGCATTATCCCCCCTCCCCCCCAAAATAAACATTACCACCATGTCCCAAACAAACGCTTCCAGAAAGAAGGGGCTCATTAGGATGAGTCTGTACTAACGTGTAAGGACCTGCATTCTGAGGACACTCGGGACAAGTTTCCAGTCCTTTTCAGCCTGACTTTTTTAAAGGACAAGGACTCCCACTACTGCTTGCTCTTATAATGGAATTAACAACACGCTCTTGGTTTGTTTTCTTCAATAGTTTAATAGTAAATGAGAAAGTGAGAACGAATGGGGGGGAAATGCCTCTCTATTCCTCCTACAAATAAATAATAGTCTGCTTTCACGTAAATGGGAAATAAGATATGCAAGCACTGCCCATTAACCAGATTTAGTCATAAAATTTGAAAAGCACATGTATATGATATAATGGTTCCTATTTCCAGCAAAGCATCTGATTGAGAGCACACCTTGCGTCTGGGAATAGCTGTGTGCAGGACGCTGCACAGGAGAGGAAGCCTTGGGACCCAAGTGGGAGCGGGCAGAGCCCCCATGGGCAGAAAGCATTCAAATCCCAAAGACAGGGAATGAAGACAAGGGCCAGAGACTTGGAAATGCCTGCTCTTCCTCTCCCTTGAGAACAGCCCATGCCGGAACTGAGTAACCAACAGCTTTCTTGGGGAAGGCGTGGGGAGTGTCATTCTAAAATCGTTCAGCTCTCTCATCTGGAGAAAAGACTAGTGAGGTGGGCAGCAGGACACAGCAGAAAATACACAACGTTTTGGAATCTGACCAAACTGGATTCAAATCCCAGCTCAGACACTTATTGCAACTTCCTTGAGCTCTCAGATTGTTTCCATCTCCGCTAAATGGAAATTATAATGCCACTTTTTTAAAAACACTAACTGTGAGCCCCAGCCTCACAGTTTCCTGTGAGGTGAATGTAATCCCACCTGCTCTTCCCTTTAAAGGAGTGACAATTCAATGAGAACACAGATGTAATAGTGTTGTCCTGAGGGTAATTTTGACAATTAAAATATTCGGGGACAGGGGAAAACCCACTTTCTGGTATCCCTGTCTCTCTTAGACAGAAGCTATCTTTCTGTCAATAAATTTTTCTTACTCTTAAAAAAAATATTCAGGGACATGGTAGAACTTTTAAAGATATATGCATTGTTATTATTGCTACTACTACCTCACATATTGTTTTTATGGAATTTGACTATCTTCTTTCATTTAGCAGAATGGAGACTCGTTTGGCAAGAGAAGTACATATAAATGATTCTAAGAGTTTGGGGGATATCTCAATGGGTCTTACACCTGGCCCAAGCCTATCGTTCCATTTCTTTCAATCCATGTGATCAGTTAACAAACCCCCAAAATGAGAATTTAATGAGGGGCCCTTATCTTTCTTTGTGTCACAGACACCTTTGTCAGTCTGGTAAGGTCAAAAGACAATTTCTTAGCATGTTTTAAAATGCATAAAACAAAATATATAAGATTATAAAGGCAGCCAGTTATATTGAAATGTATAATTATAAAAAAGTTAAGGGCCAGGGATTTAGCTCAGTGGTTTCACCACCTGCTGCGCAAGTGCAAGGACCTGAGTTCAATCCCCCGTACCAAAAAAAAAAAAAAAGTTAAAACCTAATGGGTAGACTATTATACTGCATATGTGTTTCTTTACTAACATGTTTAATAACAGGTAGTTCTAATAACTCTGCAAAGTAGTTACTAATCATATTTAATAATTGTTATTAATGATATTTCAATATACATAACAACTGTAATATAAGAATATATTTGTGATTTATATGAGTAAAAAAGTCTCAAGGGTTGCTAATACTGCTTTGATTTTTACTTACATTTCAGTTAGAGCTTAGTGAAAATAGAGAAGATTTTTCCTCCCATAAAAATCCAAGGACCCCCTGAACTTCTCCCCCAGTTTTTTTCGGAGAGATCCATTGATCCCAAGAGCCTCTGGTTCAGATGAAAGAGGTTATTCACTAGACTAGTGATTCCGGGTTGAAAGGCTCTGGGTGGCTCTCTTGAAGGGGGAACCTCATGGGAGTTGTTATGAGTTTGAGGCACAGCACAGGAATCCTGAGTGTCCCTGTGAGCTCAAAGCTGCTAGAGATGGGGAAAGTATCAGTTAACAGTGAAATCACACTTGGCAAATTTTATGCAATTCTGATACTTTTTATTAAAATTTTTGGCAAAGAAAGGTCTCCATGAGTAAGATCTGTTCATCATTTTCCCAGCACAGAAACCACTTGATAATTCTAATTCTGCCTTGAGACAGAATGTTTACATATATTTTTATCTTTTCCTAATTATTTCATAACTAAATGTTTCTTACGAGTGATGGCTTTTCTCTTTGTGATTTATTTCGTTTCATGCAACTACTATCTAATCTTTAAGAACTAAAATTCTTACAGAAATTACAGAGGGGCTTTCCCTTCCTTTCTTTTGGCTTTGTTTCTATTAAGAATTGATGTTTCTGTATTAGATCTCCAACTGCTGGAAGGAATAAAAACTATGTGTTTAAAAAAAAATTTCTCTTAAAAATCACAAAGATGAAGCCCAGACTATAAAAGAGGGAATCTGCATGCGACTGCTTCTGAGTTGAGAAGTATGCTTTCTAATGTCATGGAGGCAGTCTCAAGAAATAGAATTCTACAGAAAATCTAAATGTAATTATGTGGCCTCATACGCACTGGGTGAACTTGAGTTTCTCTGGTCAGAGAACAGCGTACTCTGCCTGCCCCATTTTGATGGGTACTGGTGAGATGATATAGCAGGATAGGCCCTGACAATAGAAGTTTCCAAGCCAATGGAAGGGTCAGTTCATATACATATAAGAAAAACGAGTAGACACCACTCTGTTATAGCATATAAAGCTCATTAAATAACAAAGATAAACTCAGGCATGGTTTTGCACACCTGTAGTCCCAGGTACTTAGGAAGCTGAGGTAGATTTGCTTGAACCATAAGAATTCAATACCACCCTGGAGACCCCATTGCAAAAGAGATAAAAAGAAAAAAATAAAGATCATGATAGCCTTACTCCCAACTGTCTCCCCAGCAGGACTGACACATTGTAGCTCATCATCAGATGGTGCACAAGTGAATAAATCTTGCTGTTCGAGTGTAGAGAAAAGAGAAGACACTGAATTTCTGGCAGATGGCATGACTTGGATTGTGAAAGGGTTAGCAAAGAAAGGAGAGGGAAGTTCCACTCAGAGAAGGCAAAGCATATGGCACTCAGATGACCAGAGCTAAGGGCTTCTCTTGGGAGACCCAGATGGGCAGATTTGATAGGAGAATGTTAAGGGATGGGAAGGGAAGAATCCAAACATGATAGGAAGCTTCTCTCAGGGTGATCCTTCCTACAGTGTGAAGCAGACAGATGGAGGGGAAGAGAGCTCAGAGGTGAACTGTGCCAGACAAGGCGCTGAGCATGCCACCTGGGTTGTGCAAAGGGTGGAATTTGGAAAATATTTAGAAACAAAACATTTCCTGGAAAGGGCATGAGCTGTGGGTGCCCTCATTTTCAACTTTAGAAAACCAAACAAGTCCCCAAAGAAGTGAAGAAAAATATTCAGATAAAGAACTGGTAAATCAAGGCTGCCAAGAAGGGCAAACAAAGTATATTTTTCTTTTGGCAAATGACTTCTCTGGAATGAAGTATCAAAGGCAGTGAAGAGGGAATGGCAGCACTAACACCCAATATTGGTCTGCTTAGAGCTTAAAGAACACTTCTGCATACCCAAGCAGGTTTGAAACAATGGAAAATAGCAAAATCAAGAGATTCATTGTAGATGTCCTTTTGTTATATGGAAGTCAGTGTACATTTTTTCCATTTGACAAGAAACAGCAGGTAGCATTTACTCTGAATGTTTTTTCAATGGCAAGAACTAGAAGTTAAAACCAAAACGAAATTCTTATTTGGGGTCCTAATTTTCTATCTTTTGCTTATGAAAGACATATCTTTACTTGTCTTAAAAAAAAACCCTTAAAGGGCCGGGGATTTAGCTCAGTGGTTCCACCACCTGCCTCGCAAGTGCAAGGTCCCGAGTTCGATCCCTGATACCAAAAAAACAGACAGACAAAAAAAGCCCCTAAGAAGTTATGATAGCTATAACATTATATTAAATTTCCTAAGAGGAAAAAGGTTATCTCAAAGTATGATTGGTAAAAATGTTCTCAGTTTAAAAAAAACTACTTTTTAAATTCAGATTTTCACATGTGGATTTTATAATATTTTCTCTCCTGCCCCAAACATACTTTTATATGTAACTTTTATTATTAA